AAATCGATTTTTTTTTCCTGCGCGAGTTAGGTTTAGGACTTTTACGTGAAACCCGAATCCGAATCCGAACTCGACCCGAAAAACCTAAAAAATCGTAAAAAACTTTAAAAACTCAAAAATTCGTAAAAAAACTTTGAAAATCCGAAAAACTCGGAAAAAAATCCGAAACCGAAAAAAACTTAAACCAAACCCGAACTGAAACTTTAAAAGACCCGGACGATTTATATATCTCTAAACCCGAAAACCTAAAATCCGAAAAATCCGATCAAATCCCGAACCAAAACCCGAAAACTAGGCCTGTCAATCGGGTCAAACCCGCCCCGCCTGACCCGCCCCGCACATATCAATATTTTTTTTGACCCGCTTTGACCCGTCCCGCCAAATTTTGAACATATTTTTTTCGACCCGCATCCGCGCCATTTAAATCTGCAGATATCCGCGGGTAACCCGCAAATATTAATAAAATAATAAAATTTTAAATTATATATATTTTTAATAAAAAATTACAAATAATTTTTTTTAATAATAAAAATCATTAATATTTATTTTTTAAAAGAGTTTTTAAATATTATTAAATAATTTAAAAATATTTCTGAATATTTTTTTATTTTTTCGATAAATTAAGAACAATTGTTGACTAAATAATATTATTTAAAAAAATTGAAATTAAAAAAGAAAAAAAAATTGGCGGGTAATCCGCAAACCCGCGGACTAAAATATTACAACCCGCACCCGCATGACCCGCTAATTTTTTTTGAATTTTTCTCGACCCGCACCCGCCCCGCGGCGGGTCAATCGGGGCAGGACCCGCAGTTCGGGTCTGAAATTGACAGGCCTACCAAAAACCCAAGCTTAACCCAGATTATGAAAAATGATTTTTTCTCAAATTAATTTGACTTAGATATTTATGTCCATTGGACAGCTCATGTCCACACGTGTCCGTCCATATTTGTCCATGGGCTAAATTGGACATGCCCAAATTATGTCCATATTGAAAATGGATTTGTCCATATTTGTCATTTTTATATGGACATGAGCTTGCCCATGGGCCGATGTCCACTTTGACAGCTCTAATCAATATGATGTTTGGCTATATAATCTCTTTCCAGAAGAAGATAAACCGATACTATAATGAAGGCATTTTGCATTCAACCTTTTGAAAATTTGAATTGTGAATTATAAAATGGAAAGATTCGATGTGTAAGCCATTACAACGGTAGAGGATACATGAAGAATCAAATGGTAAATTATCCGATTTAAATATTGGGGGAAACACTATAAGCTAATTTGTTTGATAGTATAAGCAAAAAAAACAACGTTTTGAGTGTACAATTCAAAGAATATTCCATCAACGAGGCTAATGTCGGGAAACACTCCACATTAAAAATGTCAGAAACCCAAGAAGCAGATCATGTACACGTGGACGTTAATTATACACGTCAGCACCGAAGACATAAGAAAACCTACTCTGCTAAGTTACCAAAACACCCCTCATCCCCCGTACATAGCCGTTGCAGTTGTTATCTATCGCATCGTAAAAAAATGGAAACCAAATCGGGGCGTAATGGTAAATAGAGAAACTCCAAAATCATTGTATTCGGTGAAAAAGAAGAAATAGTCAAAGTTAATCTCTTTCTTTCTTCTCTCACTCCCAATTTTCTCAGCTCTCACTCTCTTTCTCTCTCTTTGCTTCCACTGTATATCGAGCTCGGCTGTTGCTTGCCGTAGTGCGCCTTTTTCTCTCTCCTAGGGGTTTTTCTTTGTGTGTGTTTGGTTGGGGGGCTAAAGAGGTTCTGATCATGGCGTCGATGTCGTCGTCGGATCAGGGACCTAAGACAGAGGCGGGATGCAGCGGAGGAGGAGTTGGAGGAGGAGAGAGCTCGGAGACAGTGGCGGCGAGTGATCAGATGTTGTTGTATAGAGGATTTAAGAAGGCGAAGAAGGAGAGAGGTTGCACAGCGAAGGAGCGTATCAGTAAAATGCCGCCGTGCACCGCTGGCAAAAGGAGCTCCATTTACCGTGGAGTCACCAGGTACCGACACTGTGTGTGCCCTTTTTCGCTAATTGCCTTCAAATCGGAATTTCGGTTTAGTATGCAGAGGAAATTGGTTGGGATTGGAGAGTAGAGGATTGATTTTGAATTTCGTATTGTATCGACTGTTAGAAATAGGTGGAGATGTCATGTTTGGTGGGAGATTTTTTGTGAAGCTGAGTTATCTGGAATCGGCTAATTGTACTCAGAAGCACTGATTTTGATTCACTAGTTTTCAGATTTAAGATTGCAAGACATCATTTTGTAGTGAAAGTAGAGTTTTTTTGTCCATACTATGCAACATTTCCAAATAAATTGCTACAAATCAAGAGTTAAACTTTGCTAAAAATTAGTGAAAGAAAACTAGAATGAAACGAGTAGATGTTCTTAGCATCATTGGTTTTGATATCAACACTTTGCTTTTCTTTATTTTAGTTGCCTAATTCATTTCATGTCTCAGTGAGTCAAGAATTGAATGCAATGTTGAATCCATGCTTATTGGTTATGCGGTTTTAGTCCCATAGCAGTAGGGGATGTTGATGCGTTTTGTATCTTAAATTTTCTGAGTACAGGCATAGATGGACAGGTCGTTATGAAGCTCACCTTTGGGATAAGAGTACATGGAACCAAAACCAGAACAAGAAGGGAAAACAAGGTTTCTCTTTTTTCTCCCTTCATCCGAGAAAATAACTTTCTTCATCTGCACTGAGTTTTCTCTCGTGTTTGGAGTATCAAGGCTGATCATTTTTGTTTTCTTGATATTTTCATGGTTGACGGAAATTTTGCCACACCAGTTTATCTAGGTAAGTTATAAGCTTTGTAGGTACTGGATGTGTTTTTGTATATCCGAACACACTTGGTGTCAAAGTGGATTAGCTTTTGACTAAAGAACCAAACTCATACTTGACAGGAGCATATGATGATGAAGAGGCTGCTGCTAGAGCTTACGACCTTGCTGCCTTAAAATATTGGGGACCTGGGACTCTTATAAATTTTCCGGTGAGATTTCTACGTTAGTATGCTTTAAAGATTTGAGGTTTAAGCTAAATGTACTGAGGATGGTTAGAGGTTTTTTAGTGCCACCCTTCCCAGTCACTGTTGTAATTTACATGTATGTACTTGCGTATTTGATTCTCGTAGGTGACGGATTACACCAGGGATTTAGAAGAAATGCAAAATCTATCAAGAGAAGAGTACCTTGCATCTCTACGTAGGTGCGTATGTATTTAGAAGTATTACATTTTACTTGTAGGAACCATTTATTGCTGATACTATTTAGATATCCATTTGGCAGAAAAAGCAGCGGTTTTTCAAGGGGGATAGCGAAATATCGTGGACTTCAAAGGTAAAAGTTTGACCAACAATTGGCTTACCCGCTGTTTCTCTTGTCTGTAAAATTATGGAATCAAGAGTGGTTTTCTCTGTGCACTTCATACTGCCTATAAGGAAAATCTTTAGTTGCACATTTATAGATTATCATAGTTTGATTGAATTGACTCGTTGTGGACTATCACTGGCTAATTTCATAGGAAGTGTTTATATGCTACTCTTAGGTAAAGGAATAGGGCCAATCTATCTCCAGACTTCTTTAACCTGCTGTGTTTTGGTTGTAGCCCTCTTTCGTTTTTGTCTTTTTTACCTTTCATTGCCACAATTAACATTCATACCTGATATACACTTTTGCTGTTTTTCCAACTATTCTGCAATTCCTAACCAGCCGATGGGACGCATCAACCAGCCGTATGCCTGGACCTGAATACTTCAGTAACATTCATTACGGTGATTTTCTTCTAACAACATGTACCAATTTTTGGAGCTGTATTGGACTGGACCATGTAATACTTAGTCTCGTTATAAGCAGGGGCAGGTGATGATCGAGGAACAGAAGGTGACTTTCTAGGCAACTTTTGTCTGGAAAGAAAGATCGATCTAACAGGATACATAAAGTGGTGGGGAGTCAACAAAACCCGTCAAGCAGAATCTTCAACAACAAAGGCATCAGAGGATTCAAAAGTTGAAGATGCCGGTACTGAGCTTAAAACACTGGAACACACATCGCAGGCAACAGAACCGTACAAGGCACCTAACCTTGGCGTCCTTCGTGGCACTCATCAGAGAAAAGAAAAACAAATATCATCACCATCATCCTCCACCTCTTCTGCTTTAAGCATCTTGTCTGCGTCACCTGCTTACAAGAGCCTGGAGGAGAAAATGCTGAAGATCCAAGAAAGCAGCACTAGAGAAAACGATGAGAATGCAAATCGTAACATCATCAGTATGGAGAAGAGTCACGGCAAGGAAATAGAGAAACCGGTGGTTGTGAGTCACGGAGTTGCTTTAGGCGGTGGTGCTGCTGCTGCTGGTTTGTCTCTTCAGAAAAGCATGTACCCACTTACCTCTCTCTTAACTGCTCCACTGCTCACAAACTACAATGCATTGGATCCCCTCGCAGACCCTATTCTCTGGACACAGTTTCTTCCTTCAGGGCCCTCTCATACTTCGGAGGTTCGTATTCATTTATCTGATGGAAACCACAGACCTAGTGGTTTATCACAACGTCTATTCCTAATTTCATATCATTGTCTCTCTTTCTTCTGCAGGTGACAAAGACAGAGACAAGCTGTTCCACGTACAGCTACCTCCCACAACCACAAGAGAAGTGAGCCGTTCCCTTCAGTCTTTCTTCTATATGTCTGATTCTCCTGATCGTGAGATGAATTCGTCGACTTAACATCTCTTTTAAAAGTTGGGAGAAGTGTGACAATGGTCTGAAGCAAGAATGTACAGGTTTTGTTAGTGGGTTGTTTGTGTTTTTCAGTGTGGAATATAGAATTATCATATATGATGTAAAACAGAGAAAAATATTATCACTATAGTATAAATGTTTGCTCTTAAAAATTCTGCACAATGCCACAATGTAAACTTTGATTCTGACCGATTCTAAATCTAATCATTCATCTACCTAAGTTTAACTGAATCCTACAACCCAAATAGGGACTGAGTATATAACTGTTCCAACCGCAAAAGAAACAGCAATGGTGAAAGATGCATAGGCATAGGCTCTCCATGGTTGATCACTTTCTCTCATCGCATTGAACTCAGCCATTAAGGTGGAAACTGTGCTCAGACATCCCAACAGACCAAACTGTATACTCGAAGCAACCGTGTTACACGTTCTTGTGTTCACCTGTTTCCCAAAACAGATACAGAAAATGTTAATCTTGTGTGATCTGTTTTGGTAGAAAGAGTGAAAGAAAGAGTTTATACCGATTTCTTTAACGTTGCCAATGCTGCCATGACACAAGCTGCAGCTACATTTGCAATGAGGGTGCCAAATGGGACCCACCTCAAGTGTTGTCTATCTTTTCCCAGTCCGCGTCCGTTGAGTCGGGCTAGGAACCATCTGAGCCAAACACCAGGGGCTGCAACTAAACAACCTAACCATAGCTGAGCCTCGCTTGTTCCTTTGTCAAACTCTTTTACAAGCAGAACGGAACTTGCGGTGAGTAAAGCCACAAGCAACAGAAGCATCAAAATCATAAACAAAATATGGCTCCTCAATGTGTTAACTCTAAGACAAGAGTTTCTTTCCTCAGAAGAAGCTCTTCTGTGAAGAATCCATCGGAAACCTTTGGCTGTTTCAACTCCCAGAATGATGGAGTAAGATGTGAGAAACAATCCTGCAAAAGATTTTTATTACTGTGAGCAAATATGTTCATCCAATGCAGGTGGTAATTTGAGGATTTCGAAAGGGGAATATTCTGTGTTTATACCTAAGAGAAAGCTAAGCACAGCGTAGAGCCATTGGCCATTGGCACTAAGATCAAGCATTTTCTGGTTCCAACCGCTGAATGTTGTGAGGCTCCCCAAATAACCAGTGGAAAGTCCTATCGCCAAAAACTCAGAAACTTTCGCTATATCTGCTTTGAATACGACGCCAAACCAACCCATCAAGAATGATCCTACCATGTTGGAGGGAAGATCAAGATACAAGATGCTCCCATCACTGGTTACTCGAGCACCACTTGGTCCAAACAATCTCTGCAGCAGGTACCTCGTAATAGCCTGTTTGTTTAGAGACAATTATTAAAACCAAAACAGAGAGCCACCAAAGAAACATGGAAATTAAGCATATGACAAGAATAAAGCCTCCAAAACTTACCCCAAGAATCCCAAAAACAGCCAAATGGATTAAGCACGATATGTATTCCAAGGACTTTGGTAAAACGCGCTCTTCCTCCTTTCCCTATGCAAACCACGAGCTATCATAAATCAAAAACATTGAATCTGAGAAACCAACTCAAACAGTTTTTAATGTGATTATAAGAAGTTAGAGATGGTCTCTCTACCAGTTTGTTTGTCGCAGGTGACAAGAGTGACTTTGTTTGTAAAGGAGATGCTGTTATGTTCTCAGGCAAAGGTTTGACTACAGAAGTTGTGTTCAAAGTTGGAAGATCGTGTGACACATCTTGCTCTTGGCCAGAAGTATCATTAGTCCCTTGTTCTATCAAATCATCAACAGACAAACGGCTGCTTCTACCAGCACTATGCCTTCTCCGAAGTGAGCGATCTCCTATATCCCCAGCCTCTGAGACACTCTCACTATCGACGTCATTGTTAATCAGGAGAGGCAGGCTACGTGATAAGCTTAAAGAAGAGGCTCCACTGCTCTCCCGGCTAAAAGACTTGCTTCGATAGGGTTCTTGATCCATAGCCTGTGTAGCCAAAACACACAGAACTTCTCAGAATCTCCTAATATGACCAAGATGAAGATGCTGATGATGGAAAATGTTGATACCTGCACATATTATAAGTCATAGCCACACAGTAAAAAAGACGGACTTGAAGGGAAAGTTCAGAAAGAGACAAGAAACAATCGAACAATGTGGCAAGTAAACATTAAATGAAGTTAAGATATAGAAGTCAAGAGTGTCCCATTCGAGAGCTCCCAATGATTATTGAAGAGGTTGTTTGCAAAGTTCTTAGCTTTAATCTTAAAAATCATAGCTTTTCGTTTGATACTAAAACAAGTTCCCAAAAGTTCAACCAAAAAAACCCCTTTCTGATTCAATAGCAGAGAAAATTCACAGTTTCATGATAGAGATAAAGATTTTAGTTTTTGTTTTGGTCAAGAACAGTATCCAGATATGTCCTCCACTACCATGACAAAATTCAAAAAGACAAGACCCATCATCCTAAACAAATGATAAAAATTCACACTGCTTTTTCAGACTAAACAAATTGGAAAAGTGGAAATCGAAAAGAGTAGACTATATAATAACCACTTATTTCAAAAGAGAGAGCGAAAACCTTAGAAAGTTCTACAGGTGGCAAAGACGTAAGGAGAATTGAGTCTTAATCGCACAGAATCAAGCCGGCTAAATCTGATCACAAAAAGTCGCCGGCGGAGAAAGCGAGCTAACAACTAGACCCAGTCTATTCTGGAATCAGATTTCGCCCTCTTGGTGACAAATTGAGAGAATCGAAAATTATGTCAGCACCATCAATAGTTTATCGCTGTTTGAATCGAAGCTTTGTTGGTTTGAAGAAGATGACGCGAACAACGAAGCAGCAGGAGAGGCTGCGTTTGATAATTAAAGGTTTAAGTTCCACTTTTGTCGGAGCTCGGACACAAGTTTGCAACAAACAAACAAAATAAACATTCAACGCCGCCTAACAGTTTTGTGTAAAAAACTTACGTTGATTCTTTTTTTTACCACATACTGTATGTTGTATCGTAATACAATACAACATCTACAAAATCTAATAAATCTACATCTATAATTGTAAAACTGAAGTATGTATAGAAAAGTCATCGTTACGCTTTTTGGACGAAACCCTTTTTTTTTTACAGTTTTCAAATCTGTATTCGTTTAATTTGCTACTAGAATAAACAAAACAATTGGGTTGAAAAAACACATTTGATAACTACAAGTCTACAACGTTGTTGATGGCGTAGTTTGATGATGATTTTTGACAAAATATTTTTACTGCTACAGTGGTAATCAAGAATCTTTGCCTAATAAGTTCCACCGGTTGTTTCGATACTTCAACTCTAATTATATTTTTAAATAACTCTAATCTAATCCAAGACTTTAAATAGTACTACTATATGATTCATATTACCTAAACCAAGCCTGTGACTGATATTAAGATTCAAATTATCTTTCTCTTACCTATGGTTTACTAAAATAAAAATGATGAAGTTGGGGTCAGTGGATTCTAAAATCTTAAGGGCGGCTGTTATCAGCAAAGATTGGTCGGTGGACGAGAATTAGCCGTCAAACTTAGGATCGTCGTCGTTTTCTAGTAATCTAATTGGCAACCTGAGTCAAGCTACGTCGTTTTAAACGAATCAGGACGCTCCATGAACTTTAGACTATTATCATGGACCCCATTCGAGCCGCCCCCTACTTGGCCTTAACGCAAAGGCTTTGATGGGTCAACGTCAACAATTCTATTAATTACTACTCCAAAGTCCAAACAAATCTTCTTAAGCTGACATTAATCTGATCTCTGCATTTATCGGTATATCCAATTTCTTTTGTTTTTTTTCGTTGTTGTTAATAATAGCATGCATATATTATTAACAACAACGAAAAAAAACAAAAGAAATTACTGTATTTAATTTGTCTGTGGATTAACTTTTGTAGTCTAGATTAGGATAAGTAAAGATTCAATCAAACCTTGTGTAATTTTTTGCAAAAAAAGAAAGAACAGTTTCGTAATTATTTTCTGTCGCCAACTTGTATTATCTCAGCAAATTGCAAAATTCTAGAGAGAATAAAAGTAAAATAAATTCAATTAAGAAAAATCAAACAGATAATAAATTGGCTGAAACAGCTTTTCAGATCTGGAGATCGGTGGTCGGTGGCTTCCAAAGCACCGTCGCCGGTCTCCCCCTTCTTTCTCCCTTCTTTCTCCCTCTCTTCTACTCCGTCGCTCTGCTCGTGGAGTTTTTCTTTGGTTCTGTTTTGGCTTCGATCTGGTTTCTTTCGTCGTCGTCGCGGCTGGCTGTCGGCGGATCTCTGGTGGTCCGGCTCTTTAGAGCGACGGAGCGGTACTGCCGATTCACCTCAGAGTTCTGCTGGCTGGTGGCTCTTTCCGGTTTATAGTTCACGAGTGTGGGTTTTATCCTTTGAGGGTTATGGTGCTTCTGCTGCTCGCCGATCCATCTTCAGTTTCTTGGCCTTGCTTTCGGGACGCCTCTGTGAAAAGTATTGCTGCGGAGGTATCTGCTAGGCCTGTTATCCCTTTCTTCTTAGTTTGGGTTCGGGTTCTTTGACGATGCAGCTGTTTCGATCTTCAAGTCTTCTCTTGCGAGGAGGTGGGAGTCTCTGTTCTGTAGGTCGCAGAGGCTGGTTTTCACAGTGTCCGCGTGTAAGAGTTGTTGATCTTCTTAGGCGTTTTTCTCAGGTGGCTTTCTTTTCCTTATGGTTTTGGAGCCTTTGTTGTTGTGCTGGCCTTTTCTGCTGTTCTTCGGTTTGCAGTAGCTTCTGGTCTTGCGGTTGGTGTGGTCCATTGTTCTTTCGTGCGCTTTTCTTGCGCTTGTTTAGGCAGTCGGTGTTACTGCTTTGGACTTGGAGTAAGTCCCTTCAGAGTTTGGGTTGCTCAAGTCGGTTGGTTTAGTCAGTTTTTTGGGGGATCAGATCATCTTCAGTTCCAGTTTTAGCTCCTTTCCTTCTTTAGCTAAGTTCCCTGCTCGTTTTTATCTTATTGCCTCCCTTGTTTGGGCTATTGTCTCCCTTGTTTGGGCTTTCGTCTCCCTTGTTTGGGCTAATGTATCCGGGGTTTTCTCTTTTCTGCCGGCTTTGTAATGTTTCATGTTTTCTTACTTGCTTGTTTGTAAGGTTAATAAAATTTAGATGATAAAAAAAAATAGTAAAAAAAAAAAAAAAAAAATTGGCTGAAACAAAAAGAAAAATGGAAGCACAAATGTCAGTGAGGCTAGCCACCTTTCCTCGATTGTTTTCTTTTCCCAGAGCATATTATAAACTATGATTTCTTCTTGAGGCGAACCTCTTTTTTCGATTGGATTCCTTCTCTATCTCTCTCTCGGGCTTCCTGGGTTTCTCTCTGCTGATTTTGAAAAGGAAAGTGAGTGTCGTCGAACGAAATGGGTACTTGGAGGAGCCAATTGAAGGCTATGCTCCGCAAGAATTTGCTCCTCAAAACTCGACATCCCTTCGTTACTTCAGCTGAGGTTTCTCTTTTCTCTCTATTTACCTATGATGCAACTTTCCCAATTCACTGATCGTCCTCAATCTGAGCTTTTTCTGGGTCTGGTTCCCTTTTCTGCTGAATTGAATTTTGTGTTTTGTTTATGAGATGTTTGTTCTCTGAAGTTTTCGAAAATTGGGCCTTTAACAAAAAAATGTTGATCGAGAGCTTCTTCTTCTTCTTTTCTGGTGCAGATTTTGCTTCCGACTGTTGTAATGCTGTTGTTGATAGCCGTGAGGACGCGGGTTGACACCAAAATTCACCCGGCTCACTCGTAATATATCAGTTCTAGTCACTGTTACTAGTGTTGCTTTGCAAGTTTCTTACTTTAGTGGGATTATGATTCTGTCGCTGGATTTCCTGATTTTTGTTTGTTGTTGCACTGTTGATTACTGCAGGAACATAGAGATAAATACGGTGGTCGAAGTCGGCAAAGGTATCTCTCCCAGTTTTCCAGAAGTTTTGAAGCTTCTGCTTGCTCAGGGGGAGTATTTAGCTTTTGCACCTGACACTGATGAAACGAAGAACATGATCGACATTTTGTCTCTCAAGTTTCCAGAACTGCGGGTATCATCACTTCTCGATCCTATGCTGTTTACTCTAAGTCCTATTGTAGAGTTGGTTTAATATTTTCTCGACTTAATGACTTTTCGTCTCTGTTTAGGCTTCATATGTCACATGGTTAATCGATCTTGCATCTTCTGTTTGCAGCTAGTTACTAGAGTCTTTAAAGATGACATTGAGCTGGAAACTTATATAACCTCTGCGCATTATGGTGTCTGCAGCCAAGTGAGGTATGTTTTGTTCTTTGTTCGAGCTGATAAGAAGGCAATTTCATCCATGGTTCCTTGTCGCCTTCAAACTTTTTTTGCTTACATGTGTCAGGTGAATTTTTCTCTGTTTGGCCACTGAAACTGGCAGTATCTCCTTTAGGTTAATTGGTACAATATGCTACAATTTTGATGATAGTACTGCCTTAACATTGTGGCCAAGACTGTGTCTTTTCTATGTTGGAATACGATGGGGAAGGGGAGATATTTTGGACTTCGCTTTCTTGATTTCCTTTTGTAGTCTCGGCTAGTTATTTAGTTCCTGATATTATGTATCAGCACGTACCCATTGTTTTTACAATATCTTGGCGAGTAACATAGTCTGATAGCTGTTAGTGACCATTCTCCGCTGTTGATGCTTTTTTCGTCTCTATTGTTGAACTGATAAAGCTTCATCATGTTTGCATAGGAATTGTTCGCATCCAAAAATAAAAGGAGCAGTGGTATTCCATGAGCAAGGACCTCATTTATTTGATTATAGCATCCGCTTGAACCACACATGGGCATTCGCGGGATTCCCTAATATAAAGTCAATCATGGACACAAATGGAGCCTATGTTAATGATCTGGAAATGGGAATTAATACCATACCAACTATGCAATACAGCTTCAGCGGATTCTTGACGGTATGGTCATTTTACTTTTTTTTCTTTGAACTTGTCTCTAATTTGCGTCCATTAGTTTTTCTTTCATCTTCCTAGCTCATAGCCTATATAGTAGTCAAATAAGTCTTCTCTGTAGACTATACTCTATGCTGTTACAGGAGGTATAGGGTTAATTAAAGCAATTCCAAATCCAGTGTAAAACTTTCACACAGTAAACTAGTATTCAGTAAACCTGAGCAATTCGTGAGATTTGAATTGAAACCTGTAGTAGGGGATATTATCTTGGTTTTCCCCCAGTTTTGATTGGTTTTGTACACTTTTGCAGCTTCAGCAAGTGGTAGACTCTTTCATTATATTTGCTTCTCAGCAAAACATAGACTTGCCAGTATCACATTCATCTCTTAGTTCAGCTTCACCTTTTGAGCTACAATGGACTCTATTTAGCCCCTCAAAGATAAGAATGGTTCCGTTTCCAACCCGCGAATACACTGATGATGAGTTTCAATCTATTGTCAAAAGCGTAATGGGTTTGTTGTATGTATCACCTGCTCCTTTTTTTTTTCCTTGGTTGTATACCTGGTATTGGAGTCTTCATATGGTTTGGATGATTATATTATTGTTGCGCAGGTACCTTCTGGGATTTCTGTATCCAGTCTCCCGACTTATCAGCTACTCTGTCTTTGAGAAGGTTGCTTTGGCTACTTGCTTATACTTTGGAGTAAAGCTGATATGTATTTTGAGTTTCACCAAAAGTTATTTTCTATCATTATTTGCTTCACTTAGGCTTTCTTATTTCTGAACTTGCAGGAGCAGAAAATTAAAGAAGGCCTTTACATGATGGGATTGAAGGATGAGATATTCCATCTCTCGTGGTTTATCACATATGCATTGCAGGCAGGTTCTTCGCGCTTGAATTTTGATTAGTGAACTTTTGTCTGCCTCTTTTTTTGGCTATGGTCAAACCACAAGTTAGAGTTCAGCAGCATTTTCTGTTGTTAACGATGAGGAATCTAGCTGGAAAAAAGCAAATTAATGCTTCACTTGTTTCAATATATGTAATGCTTTTAGTTTTTGGTATTTTAAAACTATTTCCTAACTCGACTTTGATCTGCAGTTCGCATTGTGCTCTGGGATTATTACAACTTGTACGATGGGAAGTCTCTTTAAGTATAGTGATACGACATTAGTCTTCACATACTTCTTTTTGTTTGGGCTCAGCGCAATCATGCTCTCATTTCTAATATCAACATTTTTCACACGAGCAAAGACAGCTGTGGCAGTTGGGACCCTGGCCTTTCTCGGAGCCTTCTTCCCTTACTACACTGTAAACGATGAATCTGTGTCCACGTATGTTTATGCTTCTTCTTTTTCTTTCGTGGGGGGCTGTTTTATGGATAGGCAAAAGTTATGCTTGTCTTAACCACAATTCTGTGGTCTAGATATCATTCATGTAATGCTAACTGTTGGACTTGTAGGGTACTGAAGGTAGTTGCTTCTTTGCTTTCACCTACTGCATTTGCTCTTGGATCAATCAACTTTGCTGATTATGAGCGTGCACATGTTGGACTTCGTTGGAGCAATATATGGCTGGTATGGTTAATATGTATGTGGCTACTGGCCGAAGGTTGATTCTCCTTGTGTTTTTAACTTTTGTTCTGGTCAATCTTCATGTAGTCATCGTCTGGTGTAAGCTTTTTTGTCTGCCTCTTAATGATGCTGCTCGACTCCATTCTTTACTGCGCAATTGGTCTTTATCTGGACAAGGTATCTCCTTCTGCTACCTGTCTATCATTACGGCCTGTCTTGTAATAAGCCCTGTCTGTGGTCCTCGAGATGCATGCTCCTTCTCAGTACTAAGCAAGTGAAAGATGATATATTTGATTTTTCTGAGAAACTGACTTGATTTAAAACGGAGAATAGCCATGTGATGGACATTGGAACGATGAACCTAATCTAAGAGCTCATCTCTGCAGGTCCTCCCCAGGGAAAATGGTGTGCGGTACCCATGGAACTTCATCTTCAGCAAATGCTTTGGGAGGAAGAAAAATAACACCCAATATCACATTCCTGATCTCAAAACTAATACGTTCCCGGAGAATATAGAGGTTACCCAGGGAGAGCCTTTCGATCCTGTTATTGAATCAATAAGCCTGGAAATGAGGCAACAAGAGCTTGATGGGAGGTACAGTACATTCATATCCCTTGTGGAAAAAAATTCCTCGGAACTAATGTTTTTTGAAGACATCGGAATCACATGTGATGTTTGCCCTGTAGGTGCATACAAGTTAGAAATCTGCATAAGGTCTTTGCCTCAGGAAAGGGGAATTGTTGTGCAGTTAATTCATTGCAACTTACATTGTACGAGAACCAGATACTTTCACTTCTGGGTATGTCTTTCCTGTTTATTAAACATTATCGTCTCCTCTAACCTTATTAATCTTTGCTTGCTAGATTACTATATCCAAATCAAAATATTTCAGAAATTTGTAGATTGAATTTATTGTTTGGTTGTTTTTCTGTGTCTTGTGGTTGAGAATTTCCATCTGAATCTACATTTCCGCAAACAAAAATTCTAGTTTTGTTCCTG